CTGTAGTCGAACGGTGGGACGGACGTGCAGTTCAGTTTTTGGGCACGCATACGGTGCTGCAGGGATTTTTAGGTGTACCTCTTCGGGCTCTTGCATACCTTTTTCTCGTCAGATGTGTGCGTGTTCTTTAGATCCTCAGATGGCTCTAGCACTTTCGTGACCACGGGCTGAGAGTCTTTTGCTAGATTTTGGCATTTAGCAACTGACATACGGTTTAATGTGAAGACAAACAACAACAACATGGGAAGCCCTACCAAACTCAACAGTACGCTTAGTACAGTATGGAGAGCCGTACTAAACGCAACAGTACGTTTAGTACAGTGTCGAGAATCGGTACTGAGGTTTGTATCAGTACAGATACTTACGAAAAGCCGTACTAAAAACATTGGTTGAGCAGATGGGGGCATGGCCGGCACTACACAGATACCGATCTCTGTTTCCCCGCTCTCTTCTCACCCCGTGCCGATAACCAGCTGGCAGATGCCGGCGATTATCCTCCGGTTGTTGGCGGCATCTTGCCGTTTCAGGACGACCGACAGAGCGGCCACTCCCCTCGCCTTGCCCTCCACGCCCATGTCGTACTCTGCCAGAGCGTTTCGCCACCTTCATACGCAGAGAACGGCGTCGAACGCAACGTTAGAGGGAAAACAAAGTACAACAAACAGGTTGATGTGGTGGTTGTGGTGGTTGCTGCTGTCGTTGTTAGTGTTCTTGTTTGGATGGCGTTGCACATGTTAAATGCAGGTAGTTGTGCAACGTTTATTCACAGGGAAAACGAACTGCGCGAAAAAGCGGTGTCAAAGTATAGAAAGCGAGAAACAGTTCCGAGAGCGTCTCACCTGACGATGTACTCCGCCATGACGACACCGCCCGCTAAACCCTGAGAGTCCAAAATTGACGACAAAACGGCAGCTTGGGGAGAGAGAATCATCGAGGCGGAGGTACTGTTGTCTACCTCTTGCGGTGGTCATGACCCAAGCGCCCAAGGACAGACAAGTCTTCGTTGCGCCGGTGTCTCCATGGCATTCTGCGTAAACCTTCAACACAGGTATCGACGATAGCATTAAACTACAAGGGGGCTATCCGTTCACAAGCCTGAATGGCCATCAAAACCAACTAACCTTGGCGCCCTTGCAGAGGTTGAAGCCAGCCCCCGCCAACTGCAGCACGCCTATCAAGCCTTCCAGACCCGTGAACATCTCCAGCTTTCCCGCTCCTCCGCCAGACGAGAACAAGGGGAAGGGGAAGGCCATGAGGGGCTGCATTACGGTGTACTCTGCGGGGAGCAGGCTCTTCAGCACGCAGGCAGCGTTCCGAATGAGCGAGATCCATAGCTCCGCCATCCTTCTGCGCCGCGTGCTGATGCCAAGGTCGGGTTTGAGAACCGTCCTTTGGGGTCAGACCGGCGGGTGTGACCGTATGGCCTGCGTCGGACCAACGAAGATGGATGGATAGGGGCCCCGCAGAGCGCAACCGCAAACCTGATCTCAACTCCGACCGCTTCCACCCACTCCTATTGCCTCTTGTAGTATACCCAACGCGATTCTGAACACTGGAGAGCCCTCGGGCGCTGAGTGCTGTAGTCTCAGCAGCCCCAACGGTTCTTCCTACCTTGAACGCTTGCTGAAAACGACAGCCCGAACCTGTTCCAAATAACGGCGGGACTGTCATATTTTCATGGTTGCGCCGCACATTGCATGCTGACGCCGCGGACATCCAAACATCGCCCTTGATGGCCGTGTTCGCAGGCGAGTGAGATGTCCTCACCTCTAGCGTTGTATGCTACAGTCATCTTCTCTTCTTTCTGCTCGATGTGCAGTACCGCTTCCTCTCTAGGAACTCGTCGCATGGCCACCAAGCAGCGGAAATACAACCAAGTCTTTTCTGCTGCTTTTCTCTGTGGCAGCAGCAGCAGGGACCTCAGCAAGACCGTGATTGCTACAAGATCATCACCAGCATGTCGGCAGCAAGGACTGCACCGCGCTGCAACAACCAACAGCCTTACACCTTGGGTAGACAGGTCACGTCGACAAGCCAGCGCCAGCGCGAAATGCGACAACCTCTTCAGCAGCAGCAGCAGCAGCAGCAGCAGCAGCAGCAGCAGGGTGTCAACAGCACACCCCGGCCGCTCTCCAGAGACACCCGCGCCACAGCTTTCATCGCCACAGCAACAAAAAGCGAGAGCTCCTCGTAATGTGGCAGTGCTTGCAGCACAGGATCATAGCAAGGAAGACCTCGACCGATGTCGGAGTCTGGCGGAGAAGTTGGGGCTGGCGCTAGTAGTGGCAAGGCAGGAACAGGGGGTGGAGGAGGAAAAGCAGCATCAAGGGGAGAGGGGGAAGGGGAAAAGGCTGGCTGGAGGTGCTGCCGAAGCAGAACGCGATGGCTTCAAATTTACGATGTTCTTCGATGAGACTGGCTGCTTGGCGCTGGGGCAACCGGGGAGTGGCTTCAACCCACTTTTGGTGAGTCGATTTACCCGGAGTTATTATTCAAGTACCCCTTTGAACGTCCCCAACTCCCGTATGCTTTTGCCTACAACTCGTGCAATAGAACACCCAAGTCTATCTGGAGAAACGCCAGGTTTGCAAGACTCAAACTCCAGAGATTAAGAAGACTACGTGCAGCTGCTGCGTCCGCGAATCGCAAGCTTCTGCGTTGCCGGTTTCCTTGGAAGCTTGCTCAGTCCCACAAGCATCATGGCTGCGCGTTCTGGTTGCCGCAGTACCTCCTGTGTTAAAATCCGGCGCTGCAGCGCTCTTGTGTGTGATTCCTACGGCATAACACCCTATCCATCGTGCCGAAGCGATAGTGTCAGACCCTTCGGACGCTCACCATTCAACACCACGGTTGCACGCCCCAGGTGGACTTCTGCGGAGGCAAGACCGGGCACCGCTCGAAGCACCAGCAAGGAAGGACTGAGCAGGTGGTCAAGGCGGCCGCACTACCTAAGCGTCGCGCCGCCACGACTGCAGCTGACGCGGCTCTCCGACCTCCCTCTCCGGGTGACGATGATGCGAAAGCCCCGTTGCCGCTTCTGTGGGACCTTACCGCTGGCTTGGGGACTGACGCGTTCCTTCTTGCCCAAGCGGGGTGGCGAGTGAAGATGTTTGAGCGGTCCCCGGTAGTTGCAGCTCTGGTGCAGGTACGATCTCATGCGCCTATCTTCCGAACCGTGAGATGCTTGGCGTCGATGATTGGCGGCGTTGGTCCAAAGTTGGCGACGTAGATGGGCCTGGTATCATGCTGCATGGTTTGCATCGCGGCGGCATCGAAAGTGGTGATGATATTCGGCTGGATTTCAGAGGATGCTCTCTGGGATCTTGGTCTGCTGGTGGACGTTGTACGCGAAGACACCCTAACCTGCGGCGGTAACTGTTGCAGATGACATCAAGTGGTAACGCGCAATGCCGTTCGTGTTGAGTTGTATTGCCGGTGCCTTATGTTCCTCGATCGCAATTATCCGTGGTATACGCGAACAGGATGCTTTGGATCGTGCCCGGGTTGGCGACGACGAGACCGCTCGCACAGCGACATCTCGCATGAGCCTCACGGTCGCGGATAGCACCGAGGTCCTGGCAAAAGCAGTGGTTGGGTCGTCGTCATCACCGTCAGCATCGGTGACTAGTGCTGCCGTTGGTTTTTCCCGGCCAGATGTGGTTTACCTCGACCCGATGTTCCCCCAGCAGAGGAAAGGCAAGAAGAAGAAATCCGCGCTTGTGAAAAAGGGCATGCAAATGCTTCAGGCATTGCTAGAAGAAGAGGACAGGGCAGAGGGAGAAAATATGCAGCAGGGGACAGAGATAGGAGGTCGTATACCCGACGGTGCCGGGGGTGGTGATGTTACGGGAGAAGGAGAAGCAGGGGTGGTGGAAAACCGAGAAGAGGAAAGAAGGTTGTTTGATATTGCTATGAATTTCGCGACGCGGAAGGTGGTGGTAAAACGACCGGTTCACGGTCCGTCTATCGTGCGGCACGTACAACCCTCGCACGCCGTCGTGAGCAAGAATGGCCGTTTCGACGTCTACGTTGTGCCTCCGTAGCGCAAGGGGAGGCCCTGTGTGCTATATCGATGAACGATTTAGAGTCAATCAATACAAGGTATGAGCGTCGCGGGAGAAATTGTTTTGGGGCATCCTTGGGGGAAGTTCAATATTTCCGTGTGAACCCCGCCGAACTTGTGACGTTGAGTTGAAAGGACATACGTTCGGATGAGAGAAACCGCGACGGGCGGGTGGATATCTAGACCTAAAACGTACGCAGTTCTTTCAGCGCTACTGTGAGGTATAAGTAACTCTATGCAGGAGCACCGTGGTGCGGTGGGTTGTGCGTCCAGCTCGAATGATCAAACCTTCACAATGCTACAGCTGCAACAGTTGGTGTGCAATTTGCTTGTAGGAATATAGAACATGAAGATTCCCCGTGTCCTGTTGCTTCGACAGCAGTAGCCGATCCTTGGCAAAGCTTCGACCGCAGCCGTCGAAGCGGCCCCATTTTCGCCGGCTGCTACCTAACCGTCCGCTGTTGCCGACCAACAAATACCCTTGCTATGGTACTACTGGTGTTGAAGCTTCGTTGTGTCTTGGAGAGAGTAATGTGAGAGGCCTCCACCGTATCCGATCCGATCCTCTCTCCTCCATCTGTGATAGATCTCTTTCGGTGAATGTGCCCGCCTACTAGTATTATCGCGCCGGCAAGTCGCTTGCCCAAAACCTTGAGGCTCCCACGCACCATAGCTTTGGAACGGCCCCACCTCCGCTCTGCCACCTTGTCGCCACCGTGCCCTCTCCACCGATCGTCTAATCCATCACTTCTTACATACTCTCGCCCACGTAACGCATGGCGCAAAACCTAAATGAAGATATTCCTCCCCCCACGAGCTGCCGCTGTTTCGTTGTCGTGGCAGCACCGCTTCACGTTGTCTTACGTACGTACTCCAGTAGACTACACGCTACTGTCGCACCTCCCACCCATTTCGCCGGGGATCTCCGCTGTTCGGCTGTTTTCGCCTCGGCTTGCTATGGACCGACGGCTTAGCACCCTCACGGCACTCAAACGTCTATGGAATTATCATACTGCCACTGCCTCAGGATTAGCCGCGTCTCTCTCCGTTGGCTTGACCATGTCTCCGTCGATCTTGCTGACCTGGGGAATGTGTCGCAACACCTCTATTCTGGCGTCTTCCTTGGACATGCCTTCGTAGATGGGGTTCCCCATGAAAAGCACATCGGTCAGCTCCTCCAAGCCCGTCTGATGGAAGCGAAAAAAAAGTTGAAAAAAATTCACCTGTTGTTGTTGCTTGTTTGGCACACCCGGTGGTCTGAATGATACACGGAGCCTCTCTTCTGGGGTGGTCGTGTAGTTGATTGATGGAATATCTTCTGCGTTGAGCTCTCTTGCCCAGATTGATCCCAGAAGTAATGGATCTCTCCGCCAGTCGACTATCATTCACTATCGCACAAAGTTTATAAAAGACAAATCATAATATTCCGTATTATTAATAGAGGGGCTATCGGAACTGCCATCGGATTTGCAGTCATTGAACCCTTTCCCAGAGCGAAAAATTGCACGCAGCAAACGAACCTTATTTCACTTCAAATACCAGGAACCACACACACCGCACAAACAACAGCTTTGACCGAGGCAGCACGTTTCTGCTTTATCGCCGCATCGGCTCTAGCGTGCGTTGTCTCTACTCCCTCTGGCGCACGCGACACCGGGTTGATCGCATTTGCAAGGTTACCCCTTGTGTTCACCATGACTATGGTATGGTGCCCCCACGTTCTTGAACGTCATCCAATCCCACATGGCCATTGATTGCGGTCCCGGGGACCGTAACCAATGACCACGTGGGCACGGATGACCGAGAAAAACGTGGGGGCACCATCTCATAGTCATGGTGAAGACGAGGAGAAACTGTATGTACCCGTTGGTGGTATTTTCTGTTTGGATGATGCAACCGTGGGTAGGCCATAGGTTCTGGAAAGAATACCAGCCGCAAATCATGGAGATTGAGCATTGTAAATGGTTCTGTGTGAACCCCTACGCACATTTGCAAGAACTCGTGCCATTGTGATGGGTTGTCACTTTGCGTCTGCGCTGGTCTCTACGTAATTTTTTTGTTGTCCGAGGGACATCGGCGATCTTTCGGCACACAACGATATTGGAACTGCAAGCGAACCTAGATAGACTATATATGATCTCACATAGACTTACACCGTACGATCCTTGCTCACCAACTTGTCCAGTTCCGCCCAACTCTTGACGCTGTTGTTGGACATGTACAATCGCGTCAGGTTTGACAGGTTGGAGAGCCCATCCAAGGTGGTGATCTGATTGTAAGAGATCCACAGCTCCTCCAACGATTCCGCAACATCGTCGAGCTTCTCAATCTAAGAAACGGGTTCAGCATTTGAGCCAGAATCACGGTACAGGACTGACTGAAGGAGGTAAGGTACTTTTGGTTGTTCGATCGCATTGATTAGAGAACAAATGGACTATTCCGGTTGATGTGCATGCATCTTGGTAATTTGAACATCCATTCGTGACCGTTTACAACACAGCCCCAGCAACCTCTACTTGTGGCAGTGGTGTTCAGTTGGACGGGTAATTTGAACATTAGTTCGTGACCGTTTACAACACAGCCCCAGCAACCTCTACTTGTGGCTGGCAGTGGTCTTCAATTGGACGATTGGAATGTATGTCGTGACTTTCAGGCGTGTATCCCAGACTTTTTTTCCCGGAAAAAACGCGCTTCAAATGGTCCAAGAGGGATTCAAATTCCGGTTGTACTTTTGTTAAGATGTACAGCATATCCACTATGCTACAAGAAGCATATCCACTATGCTACAAGTTCTTGTAGCATAGTGGATATGTCGTACATCGTAAATTGCAGGCAGTGTGAATGCAAAACAGTCAAGCAGAAACGAGCGTGTGATTCCGGAGCGACACCGCATGTTTCGAAACGTGCCCACCTTCTTGATACAGTTGCGCCCCAACGACAAGATCTTAAGCTTCTTCATTCCCGCCAAAGGAATGATGCGATCGATGCAATTTGTAGACAGAGATAATTGCCTGCCGTATCAGACAAGCGGGAAGGGGGTGGCTGGCAGCAGAGTAAACATGTGTCAACGGAAAAAAGAGTGACACTCGGAAACATGGCGCAAAGACTCCTGTTCAACGTACGGAGAGGTTGGTAAGATCAGTCGGGTGGGTGATTGGACGAGTTCATCGTGCGGGAAATCACTTCAAGGCGTGATGCGCATACATACATGTCTAGAGTGTTTGGTGCGGTGGCAGCTTGTAATCGACAATCTTGCACATGGCCTCTTTGCGCCGTGCGAAACTGGAGCTAGCTGTAAATATCGCTAGGGATATGCTGGAATACTGATTTCCCAGGCTGACCCACGTCGGCTTGATTGCGACCAGAGCTTGCAGTGAGCATCCAGCAACAGCGATAAACGTTCGGTCAGCTCCAATGCCTGACTAACATCGTGCATTTACATGTAGACTACCTACAGTCTTTTGTAGTGCCAATGACATGACATCACAGCAGCGTAGAGGATCATGCTCACGCTGCATACGCTGCAAACGTACATACATGTACATACGTAGTAGTCTATAGCACTTACGCTATTCGAATTTTCCGCAAATCCAACTCTGAAGATCCAAGTACCAACGTGTACCAGGAGGAGGGTAAACAGCGCACAGTCCTATACATACAGGACCTTTCGACCTGAGACGACAACCGTTCAAAATGTCGTCGCGTCCTGCTAGGGTTTAAGCAAGTGCGGTGGTTGAAATGCTTCAACACTCACTCGCAGTTCTTGAGGGAGTTCAGGGAGTTGTCAAGCTTGGCGATAGGAGGCATCTGGCAGTACAGCTTCACTACGGTGGCTTCCTCAGCTGAAGCCTCATTCTTCGCCTCCCAATTCTTGATCGCTTGGGAGCAAGTCGTCTGTTTTTGATCGTGGTGCGCAGTTCAGTGTCGCGGATGCAAATGAGCGTTGTGAGTATAAGCGCGGCACAATTACAGCAAGATACGATCTGACCGCGCGATTGTCGGAAAATATGCGAGAGGTTGATTAGCGTCAACGAAGATCCTCCAGGATAACCAGGTGTAACAAATAGACCAATCGAATCACACGTCTTACCATTGTTCGCGAGGTGTGAAGTAACTGAGCGGGTGCGACTCCCGGGCAGGGCGCCGACCCACATACACGAACCGACGGGTGGCGGTTACATGTTCGACGAGGCGTTTGGGTTCCGAACCAGTTACAAGTTTGAACACACACACGCGGCACGCGGTACGCGGCACATCCTGATGCAGACCCACACGTGCTGCTTTGCACTTTTGCTCACACCATGCTTTGTAAAACGGTGAAGATAGTCTCGGAGGCGTCGAGGAGTGCTCTGCTAAGATGTACAGCATATCCACTATGCTGCAAGTCAGCGCTGACTTGTAGCATAGTGGATATGCTGTACATCTGAACATGCTCCGCCAGCCTTGAGTTCGAGTTCGTCAGAACGTCATCAATGTTCACACCAAATCTGTGCGACCGAACTGGACACCGCCGACGACGCACATACGGCATGCAGGCGCGAATGTGACGTGAGGCGCGCGTAGATATGTCCAACAGTTTTCCGAGCTCTCGTCAATGTGGAGCTCAACTCAGCGGGCGGTAATCGACAGCACGTCCCTTGTGCGCGAACGTGTGATGCTGCAGGTGGAGACAATATCGATCGTGCTACATCCGGCTGATCAATGATGAGACATCCCCGCCGACAAGAAGATATAGCACAACACGCCTCTTGTCTGCGCCCCCCCCCCCCC